GTATATTTTCACCAAAAAAAAAAAAGGTCGAGAAGGGAGAGGGTTGACATGTCATGGGGTTGTTAACCAAGGTCATAAAACAATATGTGTACTACTGTTTCATGAGAAACTATTTGTTCTGTAAACCTTCACCGGAAGTACAATAAAAATAAAAAATAAAAATATATCGTCTTTGAGAGATGGAACCAATCTGAGTCTGCCTGTAATGAGGGAGCATGGAGAATACCCTCCTGATCTCACTCTCCTCCTGCAGTCCTCTCCAACCATCTGCCTATGGTTCTCATTAGTTAAACCAAATTAGAGGCGAGAAGGCACAGGGTAAAGTGGAATAGAGTACGACGTGAATCCAGAGGTGCAATGAAAAAACATTTCACACAAAATGGATTATAAGCACACAGCAATGGTATTCATTGTTATTGGTGCAACATAACTATTGTCTCAAGCTCTGGTTCTAATAATCCACATACATTAGACCACAGAGCAAACAGAATTTTAAGCTAATAGCTCTGCTGAGCTATATACAAGGATGCCATTGGGAGTGGGTCTAACTTTAATGCAAAATAGAAGTTATTCTTGAGCAGGATTAATATTTTCAGAGAGTTTTTTGTAACAGTTAACAGTATCACTTTAGATGTTTCCATCTTAAAAGGTAATCAGGAAAATAATTACAAGCAATTATTAATGAATGCATGATAAAGCAGACATAAGCACAGACAGCCTAAAAGAATAATAATTAAGAATGAGGTAGGAATATTCAAAGGAGTCAGTTTGATAAATCTAGTAATAAATGTTGCAAATTTGACAAGTATTTACTGTGAGGCATATAAAATTATGAAGATAAGATGTTTAAGTAAACTAGGTGAAGATTTAATGTCTTCAAATGGAAACAAAAAGAAACTCACGAGACTATAAGAACAAGCCCACTACTTATAAAACATTGTATGTTTTATGTAGTTTTGTGTAGTAGAGCTGCAATGACAGGTAATCATTCTGGAGTAGTTATCCAGATTAAGGAGTTTATACCACAATGCTCAGAGGCCTCTAGAAGTTTA